AACTGTTCCATATCTGCCATCTCTCTCTGCCAATCCCTCGACTGGCTTCCCATTGCCCAATGAATAAAATTCAAAACATTAAAAATAACATAAAGCCATTTACAAATCTACCCCAATCACCAATCTTGTCTTCAAATATCACCCAAGCCATCCTCTCCGCCCCTCCCAAGGCCTCCTGCTCTCTAGCTCCCTTGTCTTCTCCTCTCATGCTCGTCTCCAGGACTTCTGCAGAGCCCCCCCCCCCCATCCTATGGAACTCTCTACCCCAGTCTATCTGACTATTGTGTACTCTGCCCACTTTTAGGCGATCTCTGAAAGCCTATCCTGCCTCCAGCTAATAACCAAATCTTCTATTTCTCCCATCAGTCCATTCCCCACAGTTATTACCTTTTGTACCACTAGCCCCTTCCTCTTAGATTGTAAGCTCCAAGAAGCAGGGCCCTTCTAACCCTCTTGTATTGAACTGTATCATTGCTCTACTGTCTCCCTTTATATTGTAGAGCTCTGTGCAAACTGTTGGTGCTATATAAAAATCCTGTATTGATATCGGAGGTTAAACTGTAGAAAGTAAAAGTCACTGGCTAGCAACAAGAGGCTGGAGCAAGGCTGCCTTCTCTGGAGGGCTGAATCCCAAGCACTGCAACAGAAAAAAGGAAGGGAAAGAGAGGCGCCAGGCCGCCAATAGTGTAGCTCAGTTTATTAGGAACACCTCAATATACAGACAACTTGTCAAACCCAGGGACTATGTAGCCAATAGGGACGTGTTTCGGATGCTGGACCTCCGAAACGCGTCCCGTAGTCCAGCCTCTGAAATGCATCTAGAGTCCCTGGGTTTGACAAGTTGTCTCATGGTGGCTCCTTGGTGCCCGGTCCAGCTTCCTGCACTGCTTCACCACTGAGGCTTCCTGTCTGTGGGAGCAACGGTATTCTTTCTTTATCCATCCTCAAGGGTGTTCCCTCCTGAACACTCTGAGGTGCAACCTGGCAGTGTTGGATGGACCAAAACATGACATCCTAGAGGTGTTCTATTGGATTTAGGTCAGGCGTGCGTGGGGGCCATTCAATTGCATCAATCCCTTCATCCTCCAGGAACTGCCTGCATACTGTCACTACATGAGGCCGGGCATTGTCATGCACCAGGAGGAACCCAGGACCTACTGCTCCAGCGTAGGCTAACAATGGGTCCAAGGATTTCATCCCAATACCTAATGGTAGTCAGGGTGCCATTGTCTAGCCCAGCAATGGGCAAACTGCGGACCGTATACGGCCCGGCGGACCTTTTAATCTGGCCCGCGGAGCTAGGCTCCTCTCACAGTCCGCCCTGAAGACCGGTGTTGCATGAAAATCTGTCTCCTATGAGGATCTGTCCCCCTCGATGTATCTGCGCATGTGCCGGAGATCGCCGATCGGCTGCTAATGCCTGAAACTGGCACATGCGCAGATACATCGAGGGGGACAGATCCTCATAGGAGACAGATTTTCATGCTACATCGGAGCGGCGCGGGAACACGGCGAGAGGAACGCGCGGAGCAAAGGTAAGTGAATTGACACAACTTGGGGACTTAATATGGGGGGTGAATTAATATGGGGGGTGAATTACTATAGGGGGGATGAATTACTATGGGGAATGAATTACTATAGGGGGGATGAATTACTATATGGGGGATGGGGGGATGAATGAATTACTATATGGGGGATGAATTACTATATGGGGGATGAATTAATTACTATATGGGGGATGAATTACTATATGGGGGATGAATTACTATATGGGGGAATTACTATATGGGGGATGAATTACTATAGGGGGGATGAATTACTATAGGGGGGATGAATTACTATATGGGGGATGAATTACTATAGGGGGGATGAATTACTATAGGGGGATGAATTACTATAGGGGGGATGAATTACTATGGGGGATGAATTACTATAGGGGGATATTACTATAGGGGGATGAATTACTATATGGGGGATGAATTACTATATGGGGGATGAATTACTATAGGGGGATGAATTACTATAGGGGGGATGAATTACTATAGGGGGGATGAATTACTATAGGGGGGATGAATTACTATATGGGGGATTAATTACTATGGGGGATGAATTACTATATGGGGGATGAATTACTATGGGGGATGAATTACTATGGGGGAATATTACTATACTTACTATGGAAGACACATACACATCATTCATCTACTCTTGGTCCGGCCCCCGGGTCCAATATATGAACCCATTGCGGCCCTCAAGTCAAAAAGTTTGCCCACCCCTGGTCTAGCCTGTAGAGGTCTGTGCATCCCTCCATGGATACGCCTCCCCAGACCATCACTGACCCACCACTTAAATTATGCATGTGTACTACAGCCTCTTATGATGTTGCAGTAAACCTTTCTGGTATTGCTGGGTGTTGTAGTCAACCTGTTTTAGATTTGGTATAACTAAAGCCCACAGGAAACATGGCCGCATCACGGCCTGAGGAAGGAGCACTCATGCTCCAAACGCGTGCCTGTCAACTAACCTCTTCTGGACTTCTAGTATTGGTGATGTCACCGCTGTCAGCGTCGGGATCCCCTGGCCTGCCCGGAGCCTTGGTGATGACCAGCACGATCGTCCTAGGTCTGGGAAGACACTACCTTTTAGCGGTCTGGATAGGATTCCTCTTGAAAGATGGCTTTACGTGATATGTGGTTTATACAGCTTCTCTTGTGAGTTGCCTCATTATTAATAAATTGCCTTTTAACCTACAGTGCCTTGAGGGCTAGTTCACACCAGATGCAGTTCAGTGCGTTTTTTTTTTCCATCAAAAATGCATGCACAGTGTTTTCCATGTATTACAATGGTCCTAGTTCACACCAGTGCAGTCATTTTCCGGTGCAGAAAAAACAAGCAGAACATGCTGCATTTTTTCTGCACAGAACCATACTGTAACATGGCAAACTGCATCAAAACTGCACCGAAACTGCGCGTGGCATGAACTGTAAGCAAAAACCTATCCGGAGTGCATTTTTGTAGTATGAACTGGCCCTAAAAAAGTATTCATACCCCTTGAAATTTTCCACATTTTTTTTTTTTTTTTTGCAGATATTTATTTGTAAATAATTTTGAAAACCATTTATCATTTTCCTTCCACTTTGTGTTGGTGTATCACATAATTTTACAATAAAATACATTTACATTTATGGTTGTAACATGACAAAATGTGGAAAATTTCAAGGGGTATGAATACTTTTTCAAGGCACTGTACATACTACACTCAAAACGCGCTGCTGTTTTCTTTCTTTTTTGCCGAACACAGGAGTTTTTACTTTGACAACTGGCTGCTACTTCATTCTGAGAACAATTTGGGACGTAGTCATGTGGACTTATCTTTACAAGGACTATGGACTACTAACCTCTCTATATATGTTCCCCCTCCGAGTTTTGACTCCCTAAGCACCACTATATTCCCCTATCTGCATGTGCTGACAACTGACTGGAAAACTCCCAGAACATTGCTAAGTGAGGCCTAGTCATTCCTGCCACCTCCACCATCACAGGAATGAGCTGTCAGACATTGAGTTCAGAGCTACTATATCAGGGGAGAGCTAGAGCATGTGAGTGGGTCTGAATCAGAGAAAAGCTCACTCCTGTGATGGTGGAGGTGAGCAGTAATGACTAGGCCTCACTTTGCAACGTCCTGGGAGTTTTACAGTCAGGCTTCATGAGGTATGTACCAGCAAACACAAATGCTCCTGCGCTTGGGGATGGACTCGATGCAGGCTACAACCACATAAGGAATGTCCTGGAACATGCACACCTTGCTGCCCTCAAATGGACCGGGGAAATCCAAATATACTGAATGAGGAAAGAAAAAACAGAGGGCGCACAGGCCTAGTGCATTACCATAAAAAATGTTTAATAAAAAATAAAGTAGGTGTTGTACTCACAAACGACAATATAGTCAAGGCACATCATAAATAAACAGCTGGGTCAACACCGCGCTGAGTAACAGTCCGTAATAGGGAGTATAGACATCCAAAAGGCTGACGCGTTTCGAGGACTTGCCTCTTCCTCAGAGCCACCTGATGTGCCTTGACTATATTGTCGTTTGTGAGTACAACACATACTTTATTTTTTATTAAACATTTTTTATGGTAATGCACTAGGCCTGTGCGCCCTCTGTTTTTTCTTTCCTCATTCATGAGGTATGTAAATGGACTACACCTATAGCACAGACATTATTTAACTTTAGTCAGAGATGCACAGTTTGTTTTTCTCCACAGACACCTTTTACCTGCATAAGCAGTTGGTGAAGGTGAACTATTCCTATAAGCTTTAAATGGTTAAGGGTTTTTTAACCACTTCCAGACCGGACACTTTTACCCCCTTCCTGACCAGGGCAATTTTCAGCTTTTAGCGCTATCACACTTTGAATGACAATTGCGCGGTCATGCAACACTGTACCCAAATGAATTTTTTACCATTTTTTTGAGATAGATAAAGCTTTATTTTGGTGGTATTTATTCACCACTGGGATTTGTATTTTTTTTGCTATGTAAATGAAATGTCCAAAAATTTTGAAAAAAAGTGTTTTTTTTATAAAATTTTGCAAATAAATAATATTTCATCATAAATCTTAGCCAAAATTTATTCCGTTATCTTTTTAGTAAAAAAAAATAAATCCAAATTAGTTTATAAGCAAAAATTATAATTTTTAAACATTTTTTTTTTACGTTTTTATTTTATTTTTTTATATTATTATTTTTTATTTTTATTTATTTATTTTTTTTTACATACTGTCACCCTAGCAGTACAGTGTCACCATGGTGACACTGTACTACTTGTGAGGGGTGATGAAGATTTTTTTTTTTTTTTTTTTACACTGATTGCTTTTACACCCATATAGGATGTAAAAGCAATCATTTCTCTTTCTCTCTGTGTGCATTCATGCACTCATTGAGAAGAACTGAGTGAGCTGTGATTGGTCACAGCTTGTCACATGGTACAAGGCTTTTGTGAATAGCCTTGTACCATGTGACCTCTGTGATCATTCACAGATTTCACACATAGTAAGCAATGATGTCAGAAGTGACATCTTGCTTACTACTTTGCATGTGATCACTGATTGGCCAATCAGTGATCACATGATCGGGATCTCGTACAGAGGTCCCGTCGACGATCGACGGGGAGGCCACCCGACCCTGCAGTGCCACCGTCCGGCCGTTTATATACAACGGCCGGTCGGGAAGTGGTTAATGCTTTTTTTTTTTTTTTTTTTTTTTTTTTTTTTTTAATAATATAATTTATTTCATCATAGGTGGGGAATATAGCGAAGATGATGTGAATGAGTTGGTGAAGGAAGATGATGATGATGATGATAATGGTGATGCGCAAGAGGATGCAAAGGAGAAATCTGAAAGTAAAACGAAAAAGAAAAACAAACAGTCTATTCTAGCAAGGTAATGTTGTCGCTGTTCATTTTTTTTTTTCTTTTTTCTCTGCATATGTATTTGACAGCCACAAGTAGCTTAGAAACCTCTCAAAAATAAATATACAATCACCAGCCTCTTTATTAGGTACACCAATTGCTTGGTAACACAATTTGCTAATCAACCAATCACATGGCAGCAACTCAATGCATTTAGGCATCTAGACGTGGTGATAACAACTTGCTGAAGTTCAAACCAAGTATCAGAATGGGGAAGAAAGGGGAATTAAGTGACTTGGAACGTGGCATGGTTGTTGGTGGCAGATGGGCTGGTCTGAGTATTTCAAAAACTGCTGATCTACTGGGATTTTCATGCACAACCATTTCTAGGGTTTACAGAGGATGGTCCGAAAAAAGAGAAAATATCCAGTGAGCGGAAGTTGTGTGGACAAAAATGCCTTGTTGATCTCAGAGGAGAATGGGCAGACTGATCCAAGACGATAGAAAGGCAACAGTAGCTCCTAGAACTACTTGTTACAACCAAGGTATGCAGAATACAATCTCTGAATACACATGTTGAACCTTGAAGCAGATGGGCTACAGCAGCAGAAGACCACACCGCGTACCACTCCTGTCAGCTAAAAACAAGGAAACAGAGGGTACAACTTGCACAGGCTCACCAAAATTGGACAATAGAAGATTTGAAACATGTTGCCTGGTCTGATGAGTCTCAATTTCAGCTGCAACATTCAGACGATAGGGACAGAATTTGACATGAGCAACATGAAAGCATGGATCCATCCTGCCTTGTATCAACGGTTCAGGGTGGTGGTGGTGTAATGGTGTGGGGGATATAACAGGTGGGAAGCCTCACTTTGGTCATTCACTGCGTGCACTGCCAGTGATACGGAGTCATGTCAGAGCTTACTGATCCTCATAGAGGGCAAATTGTTGGTACCACATAGCTGGTGCCTCTGTGACTGAAGTCGTCAGTGTATTTGTCGTGACGCGAGGTACAGTATCAAAGGTTATGACTGCAAATACAGCTTCCAGGATAACGTCATTGTGCAGGATAACTGCTGCAAAAGTGCCTGCAGAGCTCAATCTCAGTCCCATGAAGACTGAGATTGAGCTCTGCAGTCACTTTTACAGCAGCTATTTTATTATTCCAGGTCACAATTCTGCACAATGTCCTTTTTGTCTCTTTCGGTCAGTTGATCATGGCAACCACGCTTATTCTTAACGGATGACGTTTTCCCGCAATCTGTGTTTCCATTTTTTTTTTTTAATCTATTGTACATTTACATCAGTCCCTGCTCTCAGAGCTTACAATCTAAGGTCTGTAACTCACATTCATACATACACATAATACGGCCAATTTAGACAGGAGACAACCTATCAGCATGTCTTCAAAGTGTGGGAGGAAACCCACGCAGGCAGAGGGGGAACATGCAAACTCCATGCTGATAGTTCAGTGGTTGAGATTCAAAATGGTGACCGTAGTGCTGCTAGGCGTAAGTGCTTCCCACTTAGATGCTGTGCTGCTGGCTTATGGTTGCAATGTGTTAGTTCTATTCAAAATCACCACTTGACAAAAAAATAAAAATGGCAATCAGGAGGCAGCCGTTTCACCTCCTGAACACTTTCTGAAAAGCAATCCATCGCAGGGAGAGTTTAGATTGCATTTAGGAAATGTATGTATGTTTGTGACATGTTCCGTCTTTGTTTCAGGAAGAGGAAGAAAGGCGTGTTATCCCTAAACTCTGGGGAAGGTGCTGAGAAAAATGAAGACAAAGCAGAGAATTCCGAGGAAGACAACTACTTCAACATGGATGAAGAAAAGAAACAAAAACTGGAAGAATCAAAAAAGAAGCATGAAGATAATCTGTGGTCTAGTTTCCTTTGTGATGTGGGGCAAAAGTCCAAAGTCCCGCCTCCTGCGCCAAGTACACAGAACAAGCAGGTATTTGCTCATCACTCTCAAAGGGTAATGAGGAAAATCCCCTTACGAGCTGTTTTCGGTGGATCGCTTTTCACAGAGCTGTATAGGTTCGGCTGACAGGCATTTAGGAAGTCACACTGCCACCTCCTGAGTGCCTGTTTTTTTAATAGCTGAACGGGGTTATTCAATGGAAATGAAACAACGCGAGCTTAGCGCTCAACTTGCATTGCAGCACGATCCTATTCACTTGAATGGGTAGCGTTCAATTTTTTTTTGTTGCGTGACAGTACAAAGCATTGTGGCCACAATCTACAGCTGACTTTGCATCTTTAGGGGATGTTCGGGGGGGGGTTGTTAGAGTTGTGCTTTAATTATGTACATGCTTCCATTGTGTTCTAGTGGGTGCAGGTCCCTGGGCTAAAAGCATGCTTGACGCATTTCCCTGTGTAGAAAGTTGTTGTTCTTGGTCTGCGTAGATTTCCCAGGTCTACACAGATTGTGTTTGTAGGGAAGACCCTTTCTGTCATCTTTTTGCTGCATGTAGCGGTCAGTACCAACTTTCTACTACAACTAATTGTAAAATACAGTTGTTGAGGACTACATTGGCAGGTCATCAGCTCTCAGATAACCACTTCTGGTGTCAACTGTGCAATAGGTCAACACCTTCCTGGACCACCCACATCTGTCAGATTAAGCTATACTTGGGGATTACCTTATCATTAGTGAACTGCCCACCACCCAGAAAGCATCTCAGGTGGCCAGTCTACACAACTATTGCAGGTTTACTGCAGGATTTAACCACTTTAAGACCATTTTTTGCTAAACTACTAAAATATAGTTACCGTATTTTTCGCTCCATAAGATGCACCTGACCATAAGACACGCCTAGGTTTTAGAGGAGAAAAACAAGAAAAAAAATATTCTGAACCAATGGATTGCAGACATAGTACAGGAGATGACCAGAGACTGCGGGCATAGTACAGGAGATGACCAGAGACTGCGGGCATAGTACAGGAGATGACCAGAGACTGCGGGCATAGTACAGGAGATGACCAGAGACTGCGGACATAGTACAGGAGATGACCAGAGACTGCGGACATAGTACAGGAGATGACCAGAGACTGCGGACAGTACGGGGGATGACCAGAGACTGTGGGCATAGTACAGGAGATGACCAGAGACTGTGGGCATAGTACAGGAGATGACCAGAGACTGGGCATAGTACAGGAGATGACCAGAGACTGCGGGCATAGTACAGGAGATGACCAGAGACTGCGGGCATAGTACAGGAGATGACCAGAGACTGCGGGCATAGTACAGGAGATGACCAGAGACTGCGGACATAGTACAGGAGATGACCAGAGACTGCGGACAGTACAGGGGATGTCCAAGAGACTGCGGACAGTACGGGGGATGTCCAGAGACTGCAGACAGTACGGGGGATGTCCAAGAGACTGCAGACAGTACGGGGGATGTCCAAGAGACTGCAGACAGTGCGGGGGATGACCAAGAGACTGCAGACAGTGCGGGGGATGACCAAGAGACTGCAGACAGTGCGGGGGATGACCAAGAGACTGCAGACAGTGCGGGGGATGACCAAGAGACTGCAGACAGTGCGGGGGATGACCAAGAGACTGCAGACAGTGCGGGGGATGACCAAGAGGCTGCAGACAGTGCGGGGGATGACCAAGAGGCTGCAGACAGTGCGGGGGATGACCAAGAGGCTGCAGACAGTGCGGGGGATGACCAAGAGGCTGCAGACAGTGCGGGGGATGACCAAGAGACTGCAGACAGTGCGGGGGATGACCAAGAGACTGCAGTGATGATCGCGGCATCAGACCCCAGCCTTTCTCACCAACTTGTGACCGAAGGACTAGCCAATCTAAAACCGCGCTGTCACGTGCGTAACAATGCCACGCTCAGCTGCACCCTGTACAAAGATTTTCCAGCTAATGGACCACAATCTATGCACCTGCAGCGTGAGAGCAATTGTTACTGGGTCAGGTTAATTACTCAATTAACCCTTCACACTGCCACCACCTCCTTTTTGTAGAGAAAAGGAGGAAACTCACCAATATTATTGTATATATATAAATACAGAGAGCAATAACACAGCAAAGAGATAACAGAAGTTTTAGAGAGGTAGAGTACTTGCCAAAAGTCCTGGGTTAAGCAGATCAAGTTTCCTGAGCAAAAGGGTGCCATTCTCCCAAGTTGGTTCCAAAAGGTTAAAAGGGGAGAATTCTTCAACTTACTGCTCCAAGCATAACAGCCTTTTTCTAGGAACTCAGCAGGGGGTCTCCTTAAAGCATAGAACCAATCGCCTCATTTGGGGAGGGGTGTTGTAGGCGGGGGAGTCAGACTAGAACCCTCCCAAGTTATACCGGGCAATAACCTTCCCTAGGTACATGTAACATTCTATCCACGGGTAGATTAATATGCAGAATCATCTGCTGAACGTCTAGATATCAAACATGGCATAGTTCACTATTTCAGCTAGAACTATATGACTTTCTGCTCTCCTGTAGACAACTAGGGGGTGTAAGATATCAGACGACTCGCATTAAACTGAGCTATCTGAATATATGCTTGGTTTTTATGTAATTATTTCCCATCTCCAGATATAAAATTATATGGAAAAGTGGGTTTTAAATGTGTTTTCTGTTTTACGGCTAGCTGGAATGTCTTTGAAGCCCAGTGAAGGACTGGTTTATGGCTTTACGATTCTCTCAGATTGCGACGCTAACAAACACCCGGGCACCAGCTAATTTGGGATTTATAACCATGAAGCTGTCCTGCTGGGCCTGA